CTCATGGTAGATTGGTTAGCAAGGTTAGATCACATGGAATACTGGGAGAACTAACTATTTGGATATAGAACTGGCTCAAAGGTAGAAGACAGAGGGTGGTGGTTGAGGGTTGCCTTTCAGACTGGAGGCCTGTGACTAGCAATGTTCTACAAGGATTGGTGCTGGGTCCACTGCTTTTTATCATTTATATAAATGATTTGGATATGAACATAGGGAGTATAGTTAGTAAGTTTGCAGATGACACCAAAATTAGAGGTATAATGTGGGCTAAGGAGTGGCAGATGGAATGTAATTTAGATAAATGTGAAGTGCTGCATTATGGAAAGGCAAATCAGGGCAGGACTTATACACTTAATGGTAAAGTCCTGGGGAATGTTGCTGAACAAAGAGACTTTGGAGTACAGGTTCATAGTTCCTTGAAAGTGGAGTCGCAGGTGGATAGGATCGTGAAGAAGGCATTTGGTATGCTTGCCTTTATTGGTCATTGCATGGAGTATAGGATTAGGAGGTCATGTTGCAGCTGGACAGTACATTGGTTAGGCCACTATTGGAGTATTGTGTTGAATTCTGGTCTCCCTCCTGTAGGAAGGATACTGTGAAACTAGAAAAGGTTCAGAAAAGATTTACAAGGATTGGGGGGTTTCAGCTATAGGGAGAGGCTGAATAGGCTGGGGCCATTTTCCCTGGAGTGTCAGAGGCTGAGGGGTGACCTTATAGAGGTTTATAAAATCATGAAGGGCATGGATAGGGTAAATAGTAAAGGTCTTTTCCCCGGGGTGTGGGGAGTCCAAAACTAGAGGGTATAGGTTTAAGGTGAGAGGGGAAAGATATAAAAGGGACCTAAGGGACAACTTTTTTCACGCAGAGGGGATAAGTATATGGAATGAACTGCCACAGGAAGTGGTGGGGGCTGGTATGATTACAACATTTAAAAGGTATCTGGATGGGTATATGAATAGGAAGGGTTTAGAGGTATATGGGCCAAGTGCTGGCAAATGGGACTAGATTTATATAAGGTATCTGTTCCGAATGGACAAGTTGGACTGAAGGATCTGTTTTGTGCCATATATCTCGATGACTATGACTCTATGTTTATATCTGTAAGACTTGTGGTGGAGTCTATGAATCTGAAAGTTGGTTTGTACCTTTAGCTGCTCCTCAAGTATTCTTCATCTCCACTTGATTTTTTTTATTGTTTTCAAAAAGACTGGATACATTTATTTGGCAAAGCCACTCCTCAGTGATAGCAAATAATATTTAAAGAGATTGCCGCTCAGGATCATTTATGGCTTGATCTAAGAAGTAAATATGCATATTTGCTTAAATAGCTGTATCTCAGTGAAGATATCACTTGCTGCCCAATCCATAGTCAAGTGTTTGTCTTCAATTTCTTGTTGCAGGCCTCTGCAATGTTTTGTTTTATTGAAGTATAGTGAGAGCTTGTTCTTTTTCCCTTTCTTTTCTTTGATTCTATCCTTTTATTGTTACTTATTTTGCTTCTACTTTGCTTTATTTTTCATAATTGTGGCTTATTTAAGAAGTTTTGTTGAGTCTGTCTGTGTAAGAGATGAAGGCCTTTATTTGCCGGTTTCAGCCACCAGGGAGAGTTAGTATCAATTAAGGTGTGATGACATGACATGAGCTATGGTGCCAAATTGAAGATAAAATGGCAGAATCAACTGACCACTGCACACAAGTAAGCTGCTGTAGGTTAGGAAAACTTTTTTTTTGTTTTGAACAAGAAGGGTGTGCCGTTAACCTGACAGTATCCTTTCCATGATAGTAGGAACTGCAGATGCTGGAGAATCTGAGATAACAAGGTGTAGAGCTGGATGAACACAGCAGGCCAAGCTCTGATGCTGCTTGGCCTGCTGTGTTCATTCAGCTCTACACCTTGTTATCTCAGTATCCTTTCCATGTTAGTTTTAATACTGCAGAAAGCGTTTCAGCTGCAGGTTTTACTTTTAAATCTATAAAAAGCCTTTTGTACTACTGTATCTTAACTTCTTGGAAATGATGAAATTTCACTTTTTTATTTTTAGAAAGAAAATGGGGGCTACTAGATTGATAGGTCTTGAAGTTTAAGTAGAAAGAAGGTAAGTATGCCTCCTGGCCACTCAAATGGGAGATTATTACTTGTGTAAACCTATTGTGGTTGGTCGTCCAAATGCTTTATGATTCAAGGCAGTTTAATCTTCAGTGAAGACTCTTTTACGAGTAGTTTTTGATGCTTACTACTGTGCTACCCATAGCATGAGGTGGTAGCTGATATACTGAGGATCTGGCACTTTCATGCTGTGATACTTATGTTGGCTCCCACAGCATTAGGACAAGACATGGAGCATGTAGTAATGAAGAATTCAATGAACCTTTATTACAGCCCCTAGTGTCTACATACGTACACTGCAGTCATAGGCAGTTGTGTGTCAAAGCTCACTCAGAACAATTCAAATGTATTGTAACAGGCTTCCCTCAAAATGTCATGCAGTAAGAGAACAGAGCTCAGTAAGCTGGAAACTATCAGTTTTATGGGTTTTTAAAAAATCAATCTATCAAGACATGTCATAACACACCTCCAGGGCAAGTTAACTTGAACCCAGATCTCTGGCCCTGAAGCAGGGACACCATCATAAGAGACCTTTTAAATATCACTGACTGTTCGGTATCATTTGAATCCTCATCTGGGCATCTGAATTACTAGTACTGTGACACTACCACTATACCAACGTTTACCTCTACTGTAAGCATTATATCATTAGATCACAGGCTATGATACACTGATGACATCATGAGGATGTCCTTTAAAAGGTATATTGCACAGCCACAACTCAAGACAGAGAGTGAATGTTTTTCTCTCCGCAGATCCATTCAGTATTAATTGCAGTTTCTGCTTCTATTGTAAATCTTTAAGACCTGTTAAAGTTCCCAGCTTTTAGACTTGCTTGTTCAATTGATCTTTGTTATTTTCAGTGAAGAACTTCTGCAGGGTAAGTCCTCGTCAAGCCATTACGTATTGCTTCACGTAAATATATGTTGCCTTGAGAGCAAATGAGGCACTACTGGTGGGAATTCTGATATATGATGTCCGTCCTTTGAGCTCCAACCTTTTTGATTTCATTCACACTAAAGAGAAAAAAAGCACCTGCCAAAGATGTACCAGAACTTTGAAATCAATAAAATGCTGAAGGGTGTTTAGGTTGGTGGAGATCCAGCATAAGGTCAAGGACCAGAGGACATAAAATTAAGGTGATTGGCCAAAGAATTAAAGGCACTATTAGGATGAACAATTTTATACAGTGAGCGATTAGATCTGGAAAGCATTGCCTGCAAGTGTGGAGGAGACAGATTCAATTGTGGCTTTCAAACAGAAATTGAACAATTATCTGAAGAGGAAAACATTGCAGGACTATGGAAAAAGCTGGGAAGTGGGAGTTGCTAAGCTGCTATTGCAGACAGCTGGTATGGACATGATGAGCTAACTGGTCACCTCTATGCTATAACCATGTCATAATTCTATGAGTTGGATACTGAGTGAGGAGAAGCAATACAAAATAAAGGACAGCAGTCTAAAATAGTTGCAGGAATGGAGGGGTGTGAGTATATGTGAACAAATCTTTGGCCAATCATTGTAAGTATCAATGGTTAATAACACACTCAGGATCATGGGTGTGTAAACATGGACAAACAAGTATCACATGGAACATTTATAAAATGTGGGTTCATCTTCAACAGCAACATTGTGTATAATTTAGGCAACACATTTTAGAAAGAATGCTAAGTATGGGAGGGTGCTGAGAATATTTACAAGAATGATTTCAAAAATGAGGGACTTCAGTTATGGGGACAGGTTGGGAAGCTGGAGTCTTTCTACTTACAGAACAAAATGTTGTGGGGAGACTTGGTGGAGAAGTTCAAATCCTAATGGGACAATATCGTCAGAGAGAAACCTTTCACACAGGTGGAAATTTGAATGGGCGAAGAACCAATGAAAATATCTTTTCACACAGTAAGTGATGGGGAACTGGACTGTGCTGTCTGAAATGTGGTAGAAGAAGATACATTCATGGCTTTCAAAAGGGAATTGGAGAAAAAAAAAAGAAGCAGGGCTGCAGAGAAAGGATCAAGGGAGGAACTAGCTTAGCTGCTCTACAGGAAGCTGGCATCGACACAAAAGGCCCAAATGGCCTCACTGTCTGATTAGATTTTGTGCACCCAATGGTTAAAGACCTGCAGAAATGTTCTTAGTTCATTACTATTTTAATAAACAAGTAATTTTTTAAAAATAGTCTATTGATTCCATTTATTCACATCTAATTCTATTCCAGTTACATAGGCTTAACACAGTCCCTGAGCTATAAGGAAGAAAGCCTTGATGCCAGAGGAAAGGAGGGAATGCTCGCAGAAAAGAAAGTGGTCTTGTAAATTTTCTTTTTAAAGGCCCATGACATTAATATTCTCACAGCATCAACAAATTCAGGGAAGAAAAATCTTTGCAATAATGGCTACAGTAGCTGCCAGAAGTTAGTCATCTGATGGTGCTGCCTTTTAACAGCTTATTCTTACACAGGATTTACGGGAGCCCAAGATATTTTCTGTTCCTTAATCCCACTCTAAGGCAGCAGAAAGTCCTTGAAGAGTGCTTGTTTAACAAGGACTTAATTCTAACTTAACTTAAAATGAGACGGTCCAGGGACTAGACTGTTCTCATGCCAGTTAAAAGGCTCTGTCCCCCAGTCTGTCTTTTGAATTCTTGCAATTTCGTTGAGGTTTTGTACTGTTATATCGCTGTCTTTCTTTCAGTTACCCATTTGAAATGCTACATCATTTTTTATTCCTTGATCTCATTTCCTTTGTACGTTGCTTATTTCGCTCTTGCATTTTTCTTTCTCTTTCTTTCCATCTCTCCTATCTTTTCTTCGTCTTCTTGTTTATTTCCAACTTATTTTCCTCATCTCTTTCATGACTGTTTTTATTTTAAACATTTACTCAGGCTCACTTACCTTCACAGTCCCCTGGATTGTGCTGTCCTTCAACATGGAATGCTTACTGTTGAAGAAACAGGAAATAATTATTTTACTTTATTGCAGTTCATGTTTTGCCCACAGTTCCAGATAATTTTCTGCTTGAGCACAACTACAACAAGCTAATACGTTTTATTATTCATAACCATATTTTCTCTGAAATTTCCCTGCACAAACTGTTGCAAAGCATGTTATAATTATTTACATATACTGTGAAATAATCAAGCATTTTGGCAGTTTCTGTATAACATATCACACAATAAATTGCATCTCATAGAAAGCACATCAGCTGTCCTAGTGCACACATGTCAAAGTGACATTATTTCTGCTTAGCACAAGAAAAAGAAAAAAAAAATCTGGATTTCAAGATTACCGATGGATCGAGCTGCGCAACATTTTTACCCACACACCAAAATTCCAAGATGTTTTAAATAGATTTAGGAGACAAAGTTGAGAGTTGCATTATAAAGGTCAGTTATCACATTGATTTAGAGGTCTGGGCAATATTACTTTGAGTCATTTGATAGCGCATTAAAAGAGATAGCATCCTTTCTATTGCCACCTCTGGGATCTAACTAAAAGCGATTCAAGGAAAAATATATAATCTGCTTAACATAAATGGTTTGTGCCTGTGATTCCCACAAAGAGAATTCCTAAGCCGGAGGAGATGCAGGGAAAAAGTCAGTTGCTTCTCCACTTACTCTGAAAACCTCGCGGCAGGCAGTTACTGATCAGTGGCAGATTGCAATTCTTTTCACAATCAAACAGAAAAAGTTCATGTGATTCCTGAGTGTTTACATGTGTGGCTCTTCAATCAGCTAACAACTCTGCTCCTTCCACTCTCTTGGTCTTGATCCTTAAGTGATCATTGATAGGGATTGTTAACTTTTCAAAATTGTCTGAATAATCAGTCAAAAACTATGTAAATAAAGTTGGATGAAGATATTTTCGTGCACAGTGAATATGTTACTGCATCAGTAATCCATATGCCTGGACTGATATTCTACCGATATGAGTTCAAATACTGCCACAGAGGCAAGTTTTAAATTCAGCTAATTAAATAAATCCAGGATAAAAGAAAAACTGGCATTAGTAATAGTGATCATCAAACCTCTATGTTATTATAAAAATCCATCTAGTTCACTACTGTCCTATCGGGGAAAAAAAACCTGCCATCCTTACCTGGTCTCGCTCATATGTGATTCCTGATATATAGCAATATAGTTGACTATAAACATATTTGCCTATGAAATGAACAGCCACCAAAACAGACCAAGCTGCTATTCTTGCAATGAATGAACTGCCACCAACTCAAGGGTACTTAGAGGTGAGCAATAAATATTGGCTTTACTGGCAATTGCCACATATAAGAATGAACAAAAATGTTAGTATTGTCAACCTGAAATTGCCATTGTATTCCTTTACAATCTTTCACTCACCCTTTTGCCATCCATCCCAAAGCTCCCATATACACCACACACAATTCCCACTTTATCCTTAAATGCACATTGCTTATCTGCCATTCAAGCCCTATTTTCCTGGCGAACTTATGGTAGAGCAACAGAAATTACATTTACACACTATTGTAATAATTGCTTCCAGTTTCATAGAATAGAATAGAATCCCTAAAATGTGGAAGCAGGCCATTAGGGCCATTGAGTCCACACCGACCCTACAAGGGGCATCTCACCCCTGCATCCCTGCATTTCGCATGGCTAACACGCCTAAGCCTGCACATCTCTGGGCACTATGGGCAATTTACCATGGCCAATCCACCCTAACCTGCACATCTTTGAACCATGGGAGGAAACTGAAGCACACAGAGGAAACTCACGCAGACACAGGCAGAATGTGCAAACTCCACATAGACAGTCACCCAAGGCTGGAATTGATCCCAGGTCCTTGGCTCTGAGAGGCAGCAGTGTTAATCACTGTGCTACCCCAGTTTAAATGGAGAGAGACAGCAGCTTCTCAGAGGGATCATGAAGATATAGAAATGGTAGTTAAGTATATTTTTAAGATCTACCCTAATTTCCAGGAAGTTACGAAGAAAGCTGCTCCTTTCCAAAACGTTTAATTTGACATAAGTATTCCCAATATAAGATTATTTCACTTCTGCCTCACATTCTGGAACTGCAAGGCTAAGCTGATGACTATCATGCCTCCACCATCTTTCCCTAAGCCATCTGCTGGGAGCCGCATGAGGTCAACTGAATTTCCTTCCTTGTCTCTGTTGGAGACCTTGGCCTAAGCTCAGTGACTGCACCAAATAACATGGCCAAGTTTGAAAGGTTGTCCTGTCAGGAATTAAAAGTGTAAAACAGTTTCCTCTCATTCAATGGTGCAGCCTATTAGATAGACTGTGGCCACATTCTACAATCACCCTTTATTATTATAGTTAATTTACTGCCGATAGAGATATTGTACAAATCACAGAAGTGATAACTGCTTTGCTCAATGAGATTGTCATTTGGGCTGAAAAGCAGTTCAAAATGTGCAATCTGGCAAAAAAATGAATTCAATTAATAGGCGTAAACAGTTTAAAGAATTCAGCTAATAGACTGTGAAACAAAAGTGGTTTGGGATTTTCAATTTCTGCTCATTTAAGAGAATAATGATATTCATTTATCAGGTAGTCACATATATCATTACAGTAATAATAATGACAGAATTTGTTCCACTCTAAATTACTGTCCGTTTTTGACTACTGTATTCCATGCATCACAAAGGCATAACCTACGACTTCCATATATTTTCCTTTCTCTCAATATCAACATGTTTGTAAGATATAACTCTTCCACTTTTTTAAAAAGATATGGTGATGAGATGATTATTTTCCTCTCTTTTTCTTGGTCTCAATGCACTGCAAACCCAGGCTGTTGAGCAGGTAATCATGAGACCAGGTTCCAGACCTCCCAGTGTGCAAGAGAATAACTTCCATTTTTCACTGTAAGGAAAGGGCTGTCTGTCACTTAGAACTGCTATACCACAGCATGGCTGGGTGTGTGGATGTTAAAAGGGTGCGGGTGATGGTTGCTATCACATGGAAAACCAATGACTTTGTGCCCCATGGTGCAGTATATTATTGATTTAGACATGGTGCTACCTTTCCTGCAGAAAATTTATGCTTTTCCACTTTTCCATCTCTCAGTATTCCCACGCCACATGTATACCCCAAGATAGACTGTGTAGGAGAACTCTGTGATACGTCACCACAGTATTTGCAAGGAAAAACTCAGCATGTCATTTCTATTTCAATCTATCCCTCTTTCTCTTTGGTAAGGGCACCTGATCTCTCTTCAGTGTCTCTTTGTGGAATAAATGAGATTAAGAATTTATAGTTTTTTGGAATTATTGATGTAATCCTATAATATGTTATGCATATGTACATGGAGGTACTCAATCACTGTGACTCTTACAAGGTGACCACAAAATAATGTAAGACTACAGTTGTAATACAAGCAAGAGAATATCAACTTTATAGGTATTGCTCTGGAATTTTTTTATCTCTGTGGAAAAGTGTGGATGTGATTTTGCAAGGGCCTGTACAGGGAGGAGAGCAGTATTAGGACTTGCCAAATTATGTCTTCCAAAATAAGAATGCTGTCCTTTTACCCAGCCTCTGGAACAGGTTTCACATTTGCACTCCATTAAAAACTTTCACACTATAAAGAACCACGTAATCAACACTGCACCAAAGAAATGCAAACAAACTACTGGCAGGGTAATAATGACAAATGGACAAATGTGTGTGATAGATTGTGACAAAACATATTTGGTGCCGTTCTGGGAACATTCTTTTTTATTAGTTTTCTATAAAACAGATTACTAACCTTTAGAACATATTAATCTGTATTCTAGCCAGGAAGAATTTTCTTATTAATTACCCTGAAGTAAAACTCTTCAATTATACATTTAAATTATTGAAGTTTCAATCTAGTCCCTTATGAAATTTCCCCTTTTAGACAAGTTCAATTTGAAACAATTATACAGCTTTAGAAAATGAGTTGGAAATAAATTTTTTATTAAAGTAATTATGCAATGGCAGATGTACATTATTCTTTTGCAAACGAAAACAGCACCAAGAAATAATGATTTCCTTTTGTCACATTAAATTTGTAACTGTTTTCTTCCCCTTCCCTCATCACACACTTAACTGTTGAATGATGTAAATGCTATAAAGTACATCTATCTACTTGAGAATGTATTGTACAAAAATTACATACTTAGAGCACCAATGCCATCAGCCTCAGGGGGGAACCAGCTTACTATAAAGGCCAGATCTTAACTGCATCCGCCTTGCAACTTTGGGAATGACTGATTATAAGACAGCAAGTATTAAAAAACATTGCTAAGCGCTGGCCGCCAATAAGGGAAGACAGATCAAATCATATCTGTGCTGCAGACACTAATATCCTAGGCAGCAAACAGGGACATCAATAAATTTTTATGAGACTTTGAAAAGATCAACACAGTAGATGTGACAAAAAACAATGCTCCTGTCATGTTCAGTTTGTCCACAGCGCTCAGCCGCAGATGCCTACGAGTATGTCAGCAGAGCGAAATTTAATTTTACAAGATTAAATCCACCTTCATTTGGCAGATGGCCGGATGCCTTGAAATAAGCATTGAAGGTGCTTCTTGAAGACATGGGGTGCTAAGCTCCTCCAGGATATTTTGTTTTAAAGCAGCATGCAAACCAGGGAAACAGAAAAAAGCTTCTGATATAAGGCAAGACTAATGTAATAAATGCATTATGGAAATGGAAAGTGTTATTGAGACAGAGAGATGGAGAGAAAGAGGGGGGGTGCACAGATGTAAAGTGGATTTGGAATTCCTTGCCTTCCCACTCTCCAGTCATGCATCTCGCTTTTCATCATGTACATAATGCAGCCCACATGAGTTTTTTTTGTTTTCTTGTAATCCAGTTTACTGGATTTAAAGGAAATAGAATCACAAATTCACATATTTCTCAGGCAGCATAGGCTCTACAATCTGCCGGTGACAATTTGAAGAAGTCAAAAA